GAAGATGGCGGCGGGGCTCTGGCAACGTGAACCCTGGCAGGGAAGCCAAGGGCGGGTGTGAGTCGCCGGCGGGATCTGGGTGGAAGGAAATGTGGCGTGCACGGGGAGCGCTGAAAATGGAGCTTAAATAGATTTGTGACCATTTCCCCCCCAAAAAAATGAACAGGAGCTGAGGTGAAACCAGAGGCCTGGCTTCCTCCTCACACCTGTGGTGACCTGCGAAGACCTCAGTGCCATTTATCTGCCCAAAAGAAAGGCCCCTGGGGAGCAGCTGCTGGCAGAGGCACTGCTGCCCAGTGCAACATGGAGAGACCTGGGGACATCAGCCCCTCCACCGCCATCCCTTCATCAAGCTCCACCAGTGTATGCAGGCAAATGGACCTTTTCATTCTCCCCATCCAGGGACCTGCCCATCTGGGGAATGCGGAGGTTGAAGTTGCTCTGCTCATGAAATACCCCATTTTTGTGCACCCTGGAGCAGCGCTCTGCAGCTCCTCTCCTGAAGCCACGAGCGCTCGGCCGTTCCTCATCCGTACGGATGGGCTGGGAGGCAGGAGAGGAGCGGCCGAGCGCTCGTGGGCCCACCTGTGGCACAGAGCGACCTCCTGGCTCTTGCTCCGTGGGGAGGGACAGGACCAAGCAGGCAGCCCCCACACAGGCAGTCAAGCTCAGCAGCCCACTTATCTCCAGCAGAAACGCAGCCCACGGGAAGTTGGACAGGGCAAAATGAAAAGCAGCCTTTTCTTGTGGTTAGAAAAGGGAACTGGGAATCTGCTGGCTAGGCCCTTTGGCTTGTTTCACTTCTAATGTGGCCAGCAAATGTTTTCTCAATGCTTCTCAAAAGTGCTTTGAGATCCTCTGAAAGTCAATGTAGTAACAGCAAGGAATCCTTCAGGCTCCTAGGACTCCCTGGCCCCTTCTGAGGACATTTCAGTAATAAAGCACATGACTTTGCAGCAAAATGATGCAGAGGTCTTAATGCTTAAAAATCAAACTGCTGTCTGCAGTGCAAGAAGAACGGCTCCGAAACATGTTCTGCATGGTGCAGTCTCACTGTGTTTGCCACAACTCTCACCCTCTGGTTGGGGTGAAAGGCTGGGTGAAACACTGAGGAGACATGAATGGCATGTGGTTCCTCACCCAGCATTTACCAAGAATGTCAAAACTAAACGAAAAAAAACCCCAACCTGGAAGCAGAACATTCAGCTGCTGCTTCAGAAACATATTCTGGATTGTACTGACATTTCTATAGAGCTTTTCATAAACAGCTTCTCAGAGGATTTTACGCAGCCACACACTACATGCCTTTGGCAGAGTCCATTCTGCTCCGAGATGCAGGTTTGCAAGCCTGCTGCTTTCCTTGGGATTGGCATGGGGCTCTTCAAGGGCAGGATTAGACCCACCACTTGCATCTCAACGAAACAAAGACTGTGCTTTGATGGTGTTATTTTACATGCGTATGTGACCAGGTGCATCACAAATGGATAAACTACAAAACCTTCCAAAGAGAACAGTTTAATAAGATACTTAGGTTACACACCAAGGTTTATCAGAGGGCCTTCCCAAGCAGCTGGGGAAGTCACCAAGGAGACCGTATCTCAAAAGAACAGCAGTACAGCTATTTGTTCGGGAATTTAGAAAATATTCTCACAGCCGTGCAGTACTTGTTTTCTTTGCCTTAAGTAATTTACAGATAGTTTGCCTTTCAAAATCTGAGGCCACTACATTATTTTGTTACATCTCTGAAGAGGCTGAAATCCTTACAACTATGGTGTTAGAGAGAGTAATTCATCAAGTCCTGTTTTACAGTATTTCACGGGATTAATATTTGTTAACAACATTTAAGGATTTGTAAGATTTCCCATTTTAGTACGCCAGAACTAACTCCAAATTAGGTAGGAGTGTCCCCTCAGAGGACAGAGGCTGTGCTGTTCTGGCCCCGGCAGCCCTTGTGGCATTAACTGCCCGGACTGAACACACCCCACCTCTTTTTCACACATCCAGCCCTCCGTCCCCTCATTTCAGACACACTTTTAAACCATCTCTGGTATCTTTTTGATGGTCGGCGCTCCTGATCTGGAAATTAAAGACTCTGAGGGTATACGTGTCCTTAGATCTAATTCCCCAAAGACCTGCGGGTCCCTAGAGCCAAGCGCTCCCCACAGACCTCGGTGAAGCTCCAGGCGTGGCTCCGCACCACCATGGCCGCCCCCCTCCGCCCCGCCCCTCGATGACGTCACACACCG